TCCCAAAAAAAGTCTCCCCGCCCCTATAAAAATCACTCCTTTGCTGTTAAAAGTGCGTTGTTATACCTCTGGGAATTAAAAATATAGCTTCTAAAATGAACAGCAACACAAAAATGTCAAATTATAAATTCGTCTTACCGTCAGTTCGAGTAAGAATGGTTAAACTGACTACGGAGCAACGAGTATTTGTCGTACTACATGTACGTTAACGCAAAGTGTAACCGAAGAGTTAAACGAAGGGAAGTTGTAAATACTTCCACCGCTCATGCATGTACAATTAAATTAAATTCCCAAAGATATAATAACGCACAAGAGTGATTTCTAAAGGGGACTTTTTTAGGGGACACCCTGTACAAGGTGTATAAAAATTATCGTTGAATTGTTGATAATTTCTATAGTGTCATTTTTTTGGGGACACCCTGTATAAAGAATGTTATACATGGGTGTCCCCAAAAAAAAACTATTGAAATAAGAACACATATTGTTAGAATTTGAATGCCCTAGATATCACTAACCTGAACGCAAAGATGCCTTGACGAAGGGCCTTCGCTCGAAACGTCGAGTTTCTGCTTATTTTTTAAGGTAGTAATATAACCACTTAGCACAGCATTTTCACATTGGTACTACCCACACTGGTACAGACAGTTTTAGTATATATATCACGTAAGATATTGACAGGGTGCATATATTAAATATTGACTTATTAAGAAAAGAAAATATATTTGCAACGGTAAAGCGCACGATTTTCTGCTCTTGGGAATTAAGCAGCTTCTTAAATTCTAAAAGAAAATATCTTAGCGAAAATGATGAGGAAATGGTTCAACTTTCCACAGAACGAATTTTTATTGTTATAACGCTGCGTATTACATAAATCTCTCTTACAAACATTATTTAAAACAGTTTCTTTATGCATAAAATTTACTTATGTCAAGCTATTATGCACTTGTGGAATGATCGGGTTCAGCAGAGTGCCGAGGCATTCAAATTCTAACATTACGTTATTTCAATAGTTTTGGTTTTTTGGAACACCCTGTATATTAGTTTTGGAATATTCAAATTCTGAAGAGAAAACAACCTTTTTGGCTTTCTGACTGTCATGATAGCTACAATATCGCAGACCGCAACGACAGGTAAAAGCACGTCTTCACTTCGCGCCAATTAGTTCGCGCGATAGCGATGCTGAATTTGATTAACGGAATAATTTACTGCGAATATTTTTTGGCTACTCAATCACATTGGCGAAATTTAGTTTTAGCTTTGCTTCGTGCGAGGATATTTGCCTATACTATAGAGCCAACCGCATCCATTCAAGTGCTGAAATTACTTTAAGGTTTAATTCGTTAACCCATATCGGCAGGCCAACAAAATTTGTATTTAAAGTTCCAATTAAACTTTTCCATCGCGGAATACTTGTTCCATAGTCAATAATATCCTTGCATATCATCATAACATAATCAATAATTCAAATCGCACTTTGCATTATTGCCGCCGTGCACGCGCCAACGAAAGAAAAAGAAACGGGTAGGGATAAGACACGCAAACGGAATTCTGTCATTCCGGAAAGGAACGGAATAGGGGATAAAAAACGGAAAAGAGGATTTTAAAACGCGGAATAGGGGATAAAATGCGGAAAAGTGATAAAATGCGGAAGTGCGGAAACGGAAAAGAAGATAAAACGCGGAAAAGGGGATAAAACGCGGGAAAAGTGTTAAAACAGGACAAAATGCAAAATGGTCACTCTTTTGCTCTTTAGTTGGCGTGAAGTACAGCTATAAAATTATATTAGTCGATTTTTCTATTGTTCGCTTTCATTGTCTTCGGACAAATTGTATTCTGTTTTTGGGCGTTTGGGAAGTTCCGACTAATCTGAGGAAGTCTCTCCTGGACGAAAAAATAGTATAGTTGTTGGAAACAAAAATATCAGAATGAACCGGAGGACATTGCTTTTAAGAAATGCATTGAACTAAGCAAGTTCAAAATAATAGACTCACTCATTAATTAATTAAAAACGAAATTAGTCATCAAAGTAAATTAACATCATGAATTCCTGGTCATTTAATTAGGAACTGATAAATAGTGACTTGTGTGTTTAGGTTTATGCCTAAACTAAATGATTATAAGGGTACTTACGCCATGACCGTCTCCTCATGGAATTTGTTTTGCTGGAGCCTCAGTCAAATCAATGACTAACAATTGATTAACAATTTAATTTAAGAATATGAGTATATCTCGCTTTGCATTTTTATGACAGACAGATGACTAATTTCGTTTTTAATTAATTAATGAGTGAGACTATTTTACCTTGCTTAATTCAGTGTTCTCCGATTCATTCTGATATTTTTGTTTCCAGCCAACTATACTATTTTTTCGTCCAGGAGAGACTTCCTCAGATTCGTCAGAACTTCCCAAACGCCCAACAACAGAATACAATTTGTGCGAAGACAATGAAAGCGAACAATAGAAAAATCGACTAATATAATTTTATAGCTGTACCTCATCGACTAAAGAGCAAAAGATTGACCAAAGACAAATTCAGCATTGTTGAAACCGCGAGTTTGGCGTCAAAAGATAACAGGAAGCCATTCAGTGAGTAAATTTTGCCAGACAATTACAAATATTTAAAAATGTTTTAAAAATGTAGTTTTAATGTTATTTTCTCAAAACACTTAACGAATGATCTGTTTATTACAGTAATTTCCCTTTTTATCCGCATTTTGTCCTGTTTTATCCCTTTTCCCGCGTTTTATCCCCTTTTCCGCGTTTTATCCTCTTTTCCGTTTCCACAATTCCACGTCAGTTTATCCCCTATTCCGTTTCGTTCCGGAATTCCGTTTCCGTGTTTTATCCCTACCAATTTCATTTCATTTTAATAAAATATCATGGCGCCAAAAGGCGAATTGCGATATTTTTGCATTATAAATAAAATGACAATAATTATAGGACGGTACATTATAATTTGACGGGATACCCCCTGGAAATCGTTTCCCCGGCATAAGGTTCTTGGCTTGGTTATACAGGATAATCTTAAGTGGAATTGGCATATTGCCATGATTGTTAAAAAGGCCTCCAAGCGTTTTCATATCCTTAGAGTTCTTAAACGGGATGGAATCCACCCTCATGAACTGATCCATATTTACTATGCTCTCATAACAGTCTACCAGCTTATCTGGCGGACTCAATTGCACGAGTTCAGAAAAGAGCACTGAATATAATCCTCCCTGGCATGTCTTACCGAGAAGCTTTGAGTCAGCTCCATTGTTCTCGCCTAGATGAGAGACGCGATGCTTTGTGCGAAAGAACGATTAAAAAGATAACTGATGGTAATCGCCTGTTCTATCTCTTACCTCAGACTAGAGAAAACGTGAACTACGATTTATGTAATGCTAACAATTTGTCATTGTTCAAATGTAGAACTGATCGTTTTCAGAAAAGCTTTTTCCCAAGCATGATTCGAGTTTTAAATATATATGTCATCATGACACTTTTTTGAATATCTAAACTATCACATATATATTATATATATATATATATATATATATATATATATATATATATATATATATATATATATATATATATATAACAATCAATTTAAAAATCAGAGACTATGCAACTTCGACCATCAATTTATTAAAAAAACTAAAACATACTAAAATAAAAGCTTAAAAGTTAAAAACGTTTCGGCAGTTCTGCCTTCATCAGTTTATATTACAATTTAACAATGTCTATAGCTTTTATAGCATTGGCAGGATCAAAATTAATGAGGATCAATAGTAGGATCAAAATTACCATAATATGGTTTGCTAGTTATAATTATAATAATTATTACAACTTGTAATGGATCCTATTTTTTGATCGAAGTTCAGATCTCTTATTGAGGCCATAAGGGCTAATTGTACACAGCTGTGCCATCCAATATGCTTCTCTTGTCAATAAAGGGTTATTGGCATTTTCGCCATTCACTAAGTCAACTTTTTCAATGGCTACAAATTCCAAATCCTTAAATTCGTGTTTATTTTCATTAAAATGAACGGCCATCTCACAAACTTTCTTATCCGTAAGCATAGCTGACTTGTTGTTACGAAAACGAACTTTAAATTCAGTAGATGTGGATCCAACATACTGAACATTGCATTTTTTTGCAGGAAATTAAATAAACTATGTTAGTGGTACCACAATTCATTTCTTGTTTGATTTTGTATGACCGACCGGTACTAAAACTCCTAAAACAGTCAGTCTCCTTCAAGAAATTATTACACAAATCACATTTTCGCTTACACTTGAAACAACCTGGCCTCTGATTTTCCGCCAACACATGCTGCTTATCAAACTTAGATGGTGCTAAAATGTCCTTAACGTTTTTTGGCCTTCTGTAGGCAGTTATTATAGACTTGTCCGGAAAAATTTCTTTCCACTCAGGTGTGGAGATCAAGTACTTATGCTTAGTAATACTTATAATTTGTGAGATGTTAGGAGCCCTAGGATTAAATTCTGTCACAAAGGGATAAACTTTCTTTTTAGGTTTAACTTTAGCATGCAACAAATCTTTCCTATTCACCTTTAAAGCTTTATTAAATTCCTTATCAACTAATGATTTTGGATATTCTTGACGAACTAAATATCTTTTGTATTCCTCACACCTCTTGCTTAAATCACTATTGTCCGAACAATTTCGCTTATTTCTTAAGGCTACTCCGTACGGGATAGTATTCTTACATTGTATAGGATGTGCACTTGAGTATGGCAAATATAAATGACTATCTGTAGGTTTTGCATAAACATCAGTGAAAATAAAGCCATTGTCCAAGCGTAAGGTAAGGTCCAACACATTTAACTCAGTTTCCGAATAAACTAACTCAAATTTAATGGTAGGATACAGAGAGTTGATAAAATCAGTAAATTCCAGAAGCTTGGGCAAACCTTGCTTCCAGACATCTATAATATCATCTCTGTAGCGCCACCAAAGCTCTGGCTTTATATTTCCGCTAGTTTTGGCTAATCTATCTATTTCCCCCCATAGCTATATCCGCATAACTACATGCATTCTTAGGACCCATAGCTGTACCATGTTTCTGTAGAAAATTCATTTCCCCAAACTGGCAGTTATTACATGCTAAGCAAATTTCAACTGCTTCAACAATACATTTAGTTGAGGGAAATTTATTTTCTCTCGAATCTAACGCTTTCTTGACTGCAGTTAAACCTAAATTATTATCGATGTTGGGGAACATGGCTACGACATCCCATGATACTAATAACGTGTCAGGTGGCGAAGGACCCTTCTTATTTAGCTTATCTATTTCATTGATTAAATGCGTCGTGTCCTTAATAAAAGCAGGTAATTTCTGGGCTAATGGTTTAAGGTAGAATTCTGTAAATGCCGATCGAGAGCCTTTCTATGGCAGTCCCGCAGCAAGATGTGATAAGTCTAAGAGGGTTGTTGTTTTTATGTGTTTTAACATTCCCAAATGCTACTCCAGCTTTGGGTTCCAAATTAACAACCCAGTTAGCTATCTTATCTGTAATTTGCTGCTGAACTAGCCATTCATCACTCCACTCTTTAACTCTATCTAAATGTAATTTAGTACGATCATCTGAGGTACTTAAATAGTGGAGTGGATTACTTAATTGCTCTAACATTTTCCCATTATACTCTTCTTTATCAATTAGCACAAACCTAGAACCCTTATCTTGAATCCTAATGATATTGTTAGAGTTGCATTTTAAATTTTTAATAGCTACCCTTTCTTCTTTAGTTAAATTGTCTCTCGCTTTTCTAATATTCCCAGGGTTCAGGACTTCTTTTCTAACGTTGGTCAGGAATAATTCGATTTCTGGATTGTTCGATTTGAGTGGAGTCCATTTCTTAGTAGATGGTACCAAAGGGAATATTAGGTTTTCGCTTTTGTTGGATTCATTCTCAGTACTTGATCTCCACACCTGAGTGGAAAGACATTTTTCCGGACAAGTCTATAATAACTGCCTACAGAAGGCCAAAAAACCTTAAGGAGCATATTAAGTTTGATAAGCAGCATGTGTTGGCGGAAAATCAGAGGCCAGGTTGTTTCAAGTGTAAGCGAAAATGTGATTTGTGTAATAATTTCTTGAAGGAGACTGACTGTTTTAGGAGTTTTAGTACCGGTCGGTCATACAAAATCAAACAAGAAATGAATTGTGGTACCACTAACATAGTTTATTTAATTTCCTGCAAAAAAATGCAATGTTCAGTATGTTGGATCCACATCTACTGAATTTAAAGTTCGTTTTCGTAACAACAAGTCAGATATGCTTACGGATAAGAAAGTTTGTGAGATGGCCGTTCATTTTAATGAAAATAAACACGAATTTAAGGACTTGGAATTTGTAGCCATTGAAAAAGTTGACTTAGTGAATGGCGAAAATGCCAATAACCCTTTATTGACCAGAGAAGCATATTGGATGGCACAGCTGTGTACAATTAGCCCTTATGGCCTCAATAAGAGATCTGAACTTCGATCAAAAAATAGGATCCATTACAAGTTGTAATAATTATTATAATTATAACTAGCAAACCATATTATGGTAATTTTGATCCTACTATTGATCCTCATTAATTTGTTTACTACATAATATGGTAATTTTGATCCTGACAATGCTATAAAAGCTATAGACATTGTTAAATTGTAATATAAACTGATGAAGGCAGAACTGCCGAAACGTTTTTAACTTTTAAGCTTTTATTTTAGTATGTTTTAGTTTTTTTAATAAATTGATGGTCAAAGTTGCATAGTCTCTGATTTTAAATTGATTGTTATATATATATATACGACAGTACTTGCTGTGATTCCTGTTTGGATCCTTCGCCCTCGAGGAGACTTCGTTTGGCATTACCATACCTAATATCAAAGCTTATAAATGTATATATATATATATATATATATATATATATATATATATATATATATATATATATATATAAGTTGGTCTATAATGTCATTATACCATATTCCAAGAATATCTGGGGCCGGTTGTATCAAGCCCGTTTAGCTTAAACCGTGGTTAAGCTCAAAATAAGAAAGCAAGTCTATAGGTTCATTCAACAACCAAACTAAAAGTTTTGAACCTTAATATATAGAACGATAATGTTTACAACTATACATATTTAGTGAATAACATTTGAGTTGACTGATTCACGAAAGATATAAGAGTGTTATTTAATGTTGACCCAGTTATACACCGTTTAAAGGATTAGTGTCACACCAGGAATTCGCGGGCTCAAACTCCTGCTGGCGGCCATTTTTCGGGACGAATAGATTAGATGATCTGGAAAGTGTTTAAAATCCGTCATATATTTAAACCATCCTTTTATAATCCTTGCTCTTTTTGTCTTATTTTTTGCCAGAAATGTACCAAACAAGGTATTTTTATCGCTATTTGTTAGTATTTTAGTAAAATGTAAACAATAACAAAAGCCCGCAATGCATGACCCTGACACTAATCCTTTAAGCTAAACGAGCTTGATGCAACCGGCCCCTGACGTTAAGTTCTGTTAGTTTATAAAATTACTAAAACACATGCTGGAAATAAAACTCGTTCAGTTCTACATCTTGGCACAGTAAAAGTTTGATTATTGCGAAGTTCATATTTTGCTCTTGATTCTGGAACTAGTTTATTCAGCCGTGATGTAGGCTGGCATATCTTTCTAAAAGTCTTTTTGCATAGCGAAGAACGACGCTCACTCAACAGAGAGCATCCACGATAGCACCAAATTAAAGCTTTATCGTAATGATTTTCCGGATATATAGAATTCGGAAAGCTCGTTTCTGAACCTTTTCTACTTCGTTAGCGAGGAACGCTGCATGGAATCGAGGTGTGCCACACTGGAGCACAATACTCCAATACAGAGCGCACAAGGAATTTATACACAGTTAGGAGTTCAGTAACGTTGGCACCATTTCGTTTAAGAACACGTAAGATGTGGAGTCGCTTAGGCGCTTTCGATGTTGTATGCTCTATAAAAATGTTCCATTTTAAATTATAGATTGAAGAGTAAGGCCAAGAACATTATAGCACTCAACACGGTCAAGTGGAATTCCATCAATACTAAAGGCCGTTTTCCACTAGGCGGAATTTTGCGCGCGGAGCGGAATATCTCTTTGTCTTTTCTAATTAGTTCCACCCGAGAAATCACAAGACAAAGAAAAATTCCGCTCCGCGCGCAAAAGTTCCGCCTAGTGAAAAACCGGCTTAAGAGTTGACGGGCGTTCATTATATAATTGTTCATCCTAATTAGTATTCCTATAAAAAGAATACCAATTATCAAGTATTCTGTGATACAATGCTTGATCCAAATATTATGTGGGAAAATTGGAAAACAATATTTCTGTCGGTTGCAGATTTTCATGCACCAGAAAGAACAAAAAAAGTTAGAAGCGAGTACGTGCCATGGATTACAGAAAATATTAAACAAACTATGCGTCGAAGAGACTTTTTAAAGAAAAAAGCAGTTAAGACAGGATCAAAACATTTCCATGATGCTTATAAATGCTCACGAAATGATTTGAATAGATTAATTAAGAATACAAAAGCAATTTACTTTACAAATACTTTTAAATGACTGTGATAACAACCCAAAGAAAATGTGGAAAACAATTAATAAACTTACAAACAAACAGTCAAAAACAACTGTTATATCTGAAATCCAGAACGATAATCAAAATTTGACTAAAAAACATGAAATTGCAGATGCTTTAAATTCACATTTCAACGAAGTTGCATCTCGTTTGGTTAATAACATGCCACAGAGCTCAAGGACATTTGAGACATACGTGACTAGGTCCGATACACAATTTACGATACAAAATGTTTCATTAACTAAGGTATATAAGTTGCTCTCTACAATTAAAACATCCAAATCAGCAGGGCATGATAGAATACCCGGTAAACTTCTAAGAGACGCTGCTGAAGTAATAGCACCATCCCTTTCAGCAATCTTTAACGCATCTATAAACGCTGGTATATTTCCTGAAGACTTCAAGATTGCTATCATTTCTCCAATTCATAAGGCTGGAAGCAAAACTAATTGCGATAATTATAGACCAATCTCGGTTCTATCCTCAGTTGCTAAAATATATGAGAAATTAGTTACAGAGCAACTAGAAATTTATCTTGAAACTAATCACATTCTTGCAGAACAACAAGCAGGATTTAGGAAAGATCGCTCTACACAAACTTCTCTACTTAACATCACGAACCAATGGCTAATGAATATGGATAAGGGTTTGTTAAATAGAGTGATTTTTTTGGATCTCAAGAAAGCGTTTGACTGTGTTGATCATAACATATTGTTAAAAAAAATGCATTGTTATGGAATAAGAGGTCATACGCTTGCTTGGTTCCAGTCCTATCTTTCTAGCAGGATTCAAATATGTAAGGTAGATCAAACAATGTCCAAGACAAGAACAGTTAAATGTGGAATACCCCAAGGTTCTAATCTTGGGCCACTTCTTTTCTTATTATATAAAAACGACCTGGCAAACTGCCTGACCTCATCTTCAGCAAGCATGTTTGCCGATGACACAAATGTTTCAACCAATGGCAAAACAAATGACGAACTACAAGAACGCATTAACGTGGACTTAGAAAATATACACCAATGGTTACTTGCAAACAAACTTACACTTAACAAAGATAAAACTGAATACACGATTATTGGTTCAAGACAACGAATTTCAAACCTAGTACTAACGGACCCTAAAATTGAGCTTGGTGAATCAGTCATTAAACGGGTTCACAAATCAAAAACTTTAGGCGTAATTATTGATGAACATCTTTTATGGAATCATCAAATCCAAAATATTGTCACAAAAGCTTCAAAAGGAATAGGAATGATGCGACGAATAAAACAGTTTGTTCCCAAATCAACCTTAGTAAAAATATATAATGCCATTGTGCTATTACATTTTGATTATTGTAGCTTGGTTTGGGATAACTGTTGTGATTACTTAAAAAACAGACTTCAGAAATTACAAAACAGAGCGGCCCGAATCATCACTGGTAAAACTTATGAAGTAATATTTCAAATCCGAGTTAGTGTTTTAGACGTGGTTTCTAATTGGGGATTTGGAAGCCAAGTTTAAAACACTAACGAGGATTTGAAATTGCTTCTCACACATCATTAGACTTTCATAGCAATGAGGCATGAAATTATTAGATATTCGAAAAAGTGAGCGTGGGCATTAACGATTACATTCGCTTGAAAGTTTGCAAGAAGCGCAACGAAGCATTCAGTTCGCTTTCGTCGTGAATAGATGAATTTTGTTGGCAAAAGAGCATGGTATCTTCTTATAAAATAAGAAAAAGCGGTTTCGAGAACCAGAAAGTGTTGAGCACAGCATTGTGCACAGTATTGTCGCTCGGCTGACAAGGTTGGGGATCCGAAAAACGATATATCAGATTGTGTGTGCGATAAGGCGCTATCTGGTGGAAAATGAAAGAGCCGAAGTGAATATATATTTTATAGACGGTAAACATTACTGGTAAGTTGCTGTATTATAGTGTTTAAAGCGCTGTTTATTATGATAGTTAGTAAAAAAGTTGGTTTTCCTATATTTATGTAGTTTTCAAACGTTTAGGAAAAGTGTTAGCTATAAAGTGTAGTT